GGGAGAATTTATTTGTTTCTCCGGTTCAGTGATTGTGGTGTCTGCCAGAGTGCTTGGAGTCCTCAGGAAGCGCTAGGAGCATCCTTCAACGGAGGTACCCAGTCGGGGTGCCAGGTGATCCGTTACATTGGTGGCAAGCGGTGGGATGGCGTCCTAGTGTGAGGTAAAGCAGCTCAGAGACACAGTTCGTTTGGAGTTACAAAGTGAGGGCAACGCTAGTATCCGTACAGCGCCCCTATCTACAAAAGAACTAACTTCAGCAGAGCAAGCATGGCGTATGACTACACTCAGGAGGAGTTTGACAGAGAGGTTAATGAGGTGCTGTCTAACTTTGGACCCAACCCCCCAGAGAGAGCCGTGCAGCTCGCCAGGAAACTAGTAGGAGAATACCTGCAATCTCTAGTAGATTTGGCCAAAAAGGAGTCCAAGGGAGCCAAAGGTGTCGTCCTTCCTCCCCAGCGGCAGTGTGTACCCCAGGGAGCCAAAGGTGTTGTCCTTCCTCCCCAGCGGCAGTGTGTATCCCAGGGAGCCAAAGGTGCCGTCCTTCCTCCCCAGCGGCAGTGTGTACCCCAGGGAGCTGAAGGTGACGTCCTTCCTCCCCAGCGGCAGTGTGTACCCCAGGAAGCAGAGACCGTCTGTCTCGCACCCCAGCCGCAGGACAAAATATTGAAAGGCGAGACAGTTGGTCCCCCTCTCCACCAGCAAAGAGTGTGTCAGGGAGAGGAGCAGGTTACCCCCTCTCCCCAGCGGCAGTCTACAGTTCAGAGAGAGGAGCTTGTTACACCGTCTCTCCAGCGGCAGCCTAACCCACCAAGGGGAGATGTTATGCCCCACAACTATGCAGATGGGACCGTAGTCTCTGCACTTGCAGCATCAGGGGAAGGTACGGTCGGTCCTATCCCCCAGCCACAGAGCAGTGTATCCAGAGGGGAGACAGTCGGTCTCCCCCTCCCACAACCAGGCTCAAACCAGGCTACTTCAGTGGTAGCGCTGGCGCCCGGGCAGAGTACCGCTGGTCTCTGCCCCATCAGCAACCCACCAAGGCAGTCTACCAGCCCCCCGCACAGCCGTGGTGAGGCACATGGACATGGACAAGTTGCTATTTTATCCAGGTGTAGTAACCAGTTATTGTGGGTGGGTTGCTGGACTAACCAGGGCACTGACCGGCAGGAGGTCAGATACCCTGTTAGTCTGGATGGTAAAGGGGAGAAATGTGGCGAAACCGGCCTCGCCACGTGTCCTTGGAGGGGGCTGCTTGCCCACCTCTTGCCTTTGGACTATGGACCAGACTTTATGTGAATGTGTTAACCCAGATAGCTATGCCATGGAGCCCATTCGTGTAGTTAAAGACTTCGGCTCCATGGCAATTGAACTGTGTGAATAGGATCTGAGCGCTATTTGGTAGTTTTGTGCGCTCAGATCCCAGCTATCTGGGGATATGTGACATGTCTGTGTTTTATGTATAAAATGTGACTTTGTGTATTTTATAATATTTTAATGCTTTGTGCTCACCATGTGCATAATGGAGTCTTCTGTCTGTCCTGGGAGATAATTGAATTACTTCTCACTTATCTCCAGGATAGAAGACTCTGAAACTGGTTTGGGCCGGAAAGCCATGCTTCATTTAGTCACAAAGGACTTTCCCTTAACTTTTGAACCCCTGGTCTGATTCGTGCCATTTGTTTAATATGTTGTTCCCCTGAATGGATTGATTATGAAAATATATGTTTTATGTTTGTGACATGTATATTTTAGAAGTTATAAATATTGTGTAAAAACTGTATTCCTCTGCCGGTGATAATGAGATTACCCATTGTGTTCAGTTATCATATCACAAGCAGAGGGGAGGATTTTGTGTGGGAGTGTCTGGGTGTATTGTACGGATTGATTGGTTGTTTTGTAACGCCCTGTGGGCTGTACTATGTTTGTGGATTGGAATAAAAGAGACTGTATGTGACAGTACAGGGAGTTCCTGTTTTAACCCTCAAAGTGAAGTGTCGTCTCATTATTGGGGGAAGGATTTATTGTATGCTGTTCCAGTTTGACTGTCTACAGCATTCAGATGCTTGGGAGAATTTATTTGTTTCTCCGGTTCAGTGATTGTGGTGTCTGCCAGAGTGCTTGGAGTCCTCAGGAAGCGCTAGGAGCATCCTTCAACGGAGGTACCCAGTCGGGGTGCCAGGTGATCCATTACAAGGATATTGTACATTTCTCTCCCCCTTCCCTTACTCCCTAAACAGGGGCCTAGTTGGGTGTCACAGAGCAAGTAAGCTATCCTCCTGGAAAAAAAAAAGGTAAACTAACAGGAGGGTGGCTGCAAATATATAAAGTATGACATGTATGTATGTTTTTCAGATTGTGTGTGTGAGTGAGTGAGTGAGTGTGTGTGAGAGAGAGAGAGAGAGAGAGTGTGTGTGTCAGTGAGTGTATCTGTGTGTCAAGGTGTTCATATATGTTTGGTTGCTGTCAGAGCCATCTATAATATTAATCGGACCCTGGGCAATTCATTTTCTTGTGTCCTTTGTGCCCTCACCCCACCCCCCACCTGCCCCCACTCGCTGGCGTTCAATCACACATTTCACCATGGCACAGTTGGGAAACTAAAGTAGGGAGGTGCAAGACATACTTACACGAACATATACACTGACAGACATACTGATACATACACATACTGACATACATATAATCACTGACAGATATATCGACACAAAAAAAATACTGACACACACACATATACTGACAGACACACGCTAATAGACATACTGACACATACACACACAGAAACATCCACTGACTGACTTAGTGACAGACATACACACATACTGACACACACACTGACAGAAATACTAACACACATTCACATACAATCACACATGCACAATTTACACTTTTAGCCTACCTCCCGTTTCCAACCTTGAAGGGTGCCTTTCCCGGTGTCCTGAGTAGTGGCTGAGGCTGTTGTGAGTTAGAGGCTGGCTCTCCTGGCCCAGCCCCCCTCCTCACTGTATCCTTGATCTCTCCCGCGCAGCTCTATGTTTTCACTGGGAGGAAGTGACACTTGGCCGTCACTTCCTCCCAGCGCTGCCGAAAAGCATAACTTGAAGAAAAAAAAAAAAAAGGGAGATCTACTAAACGGTGCCCAGGGGATCAATTGTCTGGAGTACTAGCTAGCATCTAAGATCCAGTTGCCCTAGTGCCCAACTGACAGGAAGGTAGTGTAAACAAGGTTAGGGAGAGAGAAGAGGCACATGGTCCCCAGAGAACAAGGGACAGGGTAATCAGGTCTAAACGCAGATGAAAAGCCACAGGCTCCTGACGACAGTGTTTTGAACACGCTGAAACGCGCATCGAGCTTTTTCTTTAATCTCTGCACTTGGTAGCACTTTTTTATTTCTGTTACCACTATGGTTGATTTTAGGTGTTTATTTAAAACTTTAGTAGGGAGAGTTGCAGGGGCATACTTAGGGCATGTGGCACCCGGGGCGGGTTCTGGGTTGGCACCCACCCTGCTTCTCCAAAAAAAAAAAAACCTACTAAAATTTTAAAATGTGTTATATTACATTTTTTTTTAATTATTGAACAAATTTGTAAACTTTTTAAAATCCCTGCCCCCTACAAAATCCCTGCACTCCCTCACACACAGTTACAAGCAGTCACAGTCAGTCATACACAGTTACAGGTAGAGAGTTACACACAAACACAGTCAGTTACACACAGTCACACACACTGTTACAGGCAGACAGTCACATACACGGTCACAGGCAGACAATCATACACATAATTACAGCCACAAACACACACAGTTACAGGCAGCATCAGACAGTCACAGGCAGACTGTCACATGCAGTCACACACAGTTACAGGCAGACAGTTACACACACACACGTGCAGCAGCTAGTAAGGGCTGTGTTAAGCCCCACCCCTTCTTCCTCCCGTGCGACCAGTTCATCTTGCTGGTCTCTCCATGTGAGCTCACACAGCCGCCTCCAGCCCCAAGACCAGGGTCAAGGCACCCCCTACCAGGTGGCACCCGGGGCGGACCACCCCCCCTTAGTCCGCCACTGGAGAGTTGGTTCAGGTAGTGGTTAGACCATGGTGTCGTGGTAACTTTTAGGGTGAATTGAGAGATTTATTTAAATTTATTTTTTGTGTGAGGCTTTTCATCTTGTTCTCTGGGGACCCTGTGCCTCTTCTCTCTCCCTAACCTCTTTTACACTACCTTCCTGTCAGTCGGACACTAAGGGAACTGGAACTTAGATGCTAGCTAATACTCCAGACAATTGATCCCCTGGGTACCGTTTAGTAGATCTCCCTTTTTTTCAAGTTATACTTTTTGTTTGCATATCCCTTTTTATCCTTAGATTGATTAAAGGTAGGGCCTCTCTTCCTCATTTCTTAAACAGTGGAGATCTCCTGATGCTGGTTTCCCCTTGTGGGACTCTACACATCACCTACTCCTATTACCTACATATTTTGGAGGGTTACCCCCTCATTGGAGCTCCCTATTAGGTGGTTACAGTGGTGCAGCTCATGAGCCCTTGACTTGTATCCAGACTCCTGACCTGTACTCTGTTTACTTTATTTCTCCATTTTATCTTTTTCCATTTAGATTGTTAGTACGTTAAAGCCCTCCTTTTGTAGGACAGCATAGCACACTAACATTGTGAAAATTTTAAAATACTGGTTTCATACTCACAAATGGTTAAAGGAAGCACCTCTCATAGCTGCGAGGAAGTATTTAAACACTGCAATGTATGCATTGCAATTTCTACAAAATTGCAAAATGACAGGACAACTGCATTAGGTTGAAATAATCTAGTAACTTTAGTAGTCCAAGATGACAAAAACAAACAAAGAACCAAAAAAATAAAAATAAATAAATAAATAAATAAAAAAAAAAATTGCTTGCATTGTGTTTAAAATAAAATTCTGAAGTCAATGACATGTTTGTAACACATCAGTACAGTTAAAAATCAAGTATGCTAGCTGAATAAGAAGCCCACAAATAAGGTGTTAGTTTTTATTGGATTAAAAAATATAATACATACACACAATTTCACCTTCTACCAATATTCAGGACATAGACGATAATTGCATATATATAGTAGAGTATTGACAGTCATATTAACTAGGCACATTAGTGTATTATAAAAGGACTTTGTAATACATTTACAGATATGACACATCTTGTGTTAGTATAAGCAGTCTTGGAATTCAGACACCAAAAATGGCAAACCATTTCCTAAAATTCTAATCTATATGTAGCTAAACCATTACTGATCAATGAAACATATGATGGGTATCCTGAAGGGTCTGAGAATATTGACAACAAGCGTTTGAGCAGTTAGGAGGTCTATCCTTTTCTCATTGGCTACCAAAAAGCCTAGCTGGCCTCTCAAGGCTTTTGCATGGAGTGTATACTCACCTACTATATCAGGCAATAGTGCTCCTGTTGACACAGATGGGCTGCAGATCGCTAATGACACAAGCGACTGCACGAAGGACTTTAGAGGCATTGGCACGATGCTTCTACATACTAGAACTACACCTCACTGTCAGAAGATGGTACTACTAACTAGCTTCCTTTAAGGCTAAGCTGGATTGGATAGTGCAGCCCCAACCAAGATTGCCACTATCTACGCGTAGATTTAAAAGTGGTTTGCAGCTGACCCAGCTGCTAAGGCACAGGTATAAGCAGTTACTACTAGTGTAAGTCTCAGAAGACAACCTACTAGGCCTCTGACAAGGTTTGACTTTTATGGGGAAACTGTACAACAATTGCAACAAACCGTACCCTGCGGGTTGCACACCTCAATGATTGAAGCAGATGGAAGAATATTAAAATTTATGGGTTTCTCGGACTCCGAATGGCCTCAATACTCCCCTTGAAACAAGCCAAACACAATCTTCAATAGAGAGGTTATTGGACGCTGTCAAACATGTGGTTAAGTATTCATTAAAGACCACACTTTATGTAAAGGACTTCTCAAGTACTATGGCCAAAAAGGGGTAACAAAGCCATCTCTCGCTCAAATTAATGTTTTGCCTACAGGCGAAGGCAGAATCTATGCACAGAGAAACAAGGATATAAAAAATATTATACAAAAAGTGCGTGGAGGTTTAGAAAAAGGTATAATATGCAAAATACTTGTACCTTAAAATTATAATACTAGATATTTAATGTGCACAACATTTTGTATTTTAAAAGTGTCAACAATGCCTTATGATAAAATTAGCATACAAGATAGCAAATTTTACATTTGAAAAAAATAAAATAAAGTATTTATGTATGAATATGTGGGACCTAACTGGTCAGTTTGCATCACAGCTGTAAGTTTGTCGGTGCTTAAAGTCAATTGCAAAATATGCTTTAATTCAAAACTGGTCACAGAAAGCGTAAAACTAATGGCATGCACATGTGTGTTCCGAATACAGACTGCCAGGAAATCAACAACACGCTAAATTAGGCACGTTCCATATACGTTTAACATTTATGTTTCAACTTTTTTGGTAAAGACTTTAAGATAAATTAAACGTAAGCTGAGGCATTGCGGTCACCAATAGGTTTGTGGTAATATTAAAAGGCAATATGGCACTTCTATTAAGCTTGAAAGTGGCATGTGCTTCATATATCTGTGATGGAAATTATTTAAAAGGCAAAGCCCATCGGTGCATTCCAAAAATTAAATAAAAATATTTATAAAAATTTTACAGAAAAATTTAAATATATTTCCATAGTCATCGGTGTAGATATAGAGATCATTGGTATATTCTTGGAGTGTATTTAACAAAATCAAATCACGCTCAACTACATTTATCTTAGCATACACTTTAACATATAACCAAGTCAGCAATGGCAAACACAAGAACTGAAGAGGTTTGTAAGATATCCCCCCCCATTCACTAAAACAGGACTTATTGGAAATTCAAAGTGAGTGTGGGGTCAAAAAAGAGAAACTAAAAACACAGCTGTTTGGAGAATTTCCAGTACAGCAAGTTGGACTGAATTTTGAATTTCCAACAATTCACACTTCAGTGAATAGCCCAAACAGCCATCTTATTGGCTAGCCCACCATGTACATGGGAAGATAGTTCACAAAACTAGAACGTTCAGGTTAGCCATCAACCATTTGATTGAAAACAAGAGCTTACACAAACAAATTCACATTTTATTTCCAGCACCTAAATAAAAAAGTAAATAAAGTAAATCTTTACCTGGTATTACTATAGATTTTTGGCAACAGAAGAAAATCTAATCTTACAATTACAAATGTAAATCAGTACGAAAAAAAAAAAAAAAAACACGACTTTGCCCCCCTAGATGGACCAGCATACTTATGATTGACAGTGGAAAAGAGAAAAAGATGGCTAAAACACACCATTACTGCATTTATTACACAAAATCGGGACTAGGTTATTCGAAACTCATATGAAATAAATGTCAGACAAAACACTAGGTGACACTGTTTAAAATAAAAAAATATAAACACAAAGTTGCAAAATGTGTGCCTGGTAACGATTCCTCTGTGGCCTTGCAGAGCGGAAAACACTGAATAGAATTTAGTGATATTTTAGTTGTATCTATAGCCAGATAAATTGGCCTGTTGGCCTAATAGTATGAAATGGGTGGTGTGTTAAGTTTAAGGCGCAATAATAGGTTTAATTTATAATAATGATAAAAAAAAAAAAGCCACTTATTAAAACAAACTTATTTACACTACGAAAGGTCCTAAAAACTGACATGGCATGCAGGTGTGCATATATATTTTTGGACTACCAGTACAAAAAGGAAAGGGAAAAAATATAAAACAAAAAAATTAAATAGATATACGTTTGCCAATATACATGTGTAAAAGTCAAAATGTGTAAATGCAGGTTTGATTACATGAAAACTAAAAAAGGCAAATAAAGCATATATCCAAGTTTAAGAAAACCAGTATTTGTAATGGAACATTTTTTTTAAAGAATTTTTTTGTTTCACATTTTTGGTACCAAATATTTATACAATTAGAGATTACATGAAATTAGAAATTAATACACAAAACCTTTACAGTTTAAACAGATTTTATGCAATACCATTAAAAACCTTCCCACCTTGCTCCAAGTAAATCTATAAAGCATAGAGGAAGTGTAAAGAAAATACATTCTATTTGTAATTTTAGTTTTCTAAATTCTATAGGTGACAAATTAAATATATGACAAAATGTTTGAGGATGTAAATGGCTAAATTTGGTACTTTGTTGCGGACATAGATATATTGGTTTTCATTAACTGTGCATCTATCAGGCAAGGCAGACTTCCCCAAAGCAGAATAGGCACTTGTGTTGAACCTTTTATTTTAGAATTTATTCTAAGGCATTATGGGAGGAATTGTGCAGAGCTAAACTGCCCCTACACCCACAATGTTCCTCATTTAATTTTATTAAAGGCTTTGAAGAGCATCTTTGGGTTTAGAAGTTACTTTTTGTCAGTTTTCTACAATAGTATTGTTTGCTTCAATCTTTTTGTAGGTCTTGTATTGAGATCAACTCAATGCAAGTTCTAGGGTAAGTTCTGTTTTTGCATTCATTGGTACATATTTTGCTATATTGTTTTCTATATTTTACATTAAGGTACATTACACACCACGGGAGGAAACATGGTGATAGTGCAGCTTCTATTTCAGAATCAAATTATAGGAATACATTCTTAGAGCAGTTACCCCCTAAGAAGAAGGATGGGTTGGGAGCACAGTTGGTTGGTAAAGAGGCCCAAAAAGCACAGGCTTAAAGAATTCTCTTCAACTGGCACAAGTGTTTCAATCATTTATGAAAATTAATCTGTGCTGAAAATCCATTAGTGCCCAGGTGAGGAGTCTCTACAAACCTGCACTGTAAGTGCTTCTAGGAACAACCTCTGACCAATATACCAAGGAATAAACAATTGAAAGATCTGGGGATGCTTCAGCTGAAGAGAGAATTTGTAGCCTCGTAAAGAAACAGTGCTCATTTCCAGGAGATTAGGCTTCAAACTTGGAATAAGGGTTGTCTTCTTTAAACAGACCTACAAAAAATAAATAGTGAAAATGGAAATTAGATTCAAATTCCAGATGTCAAATGGCTTGGATGGGGCTACCATTTTATGTCACCCACACAGCACCAGAGGATGTACTTTTTATTCATATATTTCAAGCTTAGCAACAGGATGTAGTGTAAAAAAAAAATACATTGACTTGGAATGGCTCAGGCAATTGAACATATGGCTGTAAAAAAAAGTTGAAATGCAAATATGACAATCTTTTGGTGTAACCATATCTTATTGGCATATTCTTAAAATTATTTTACAGAACATTCACATTACCATATTTCTTCCTTATTTCATCATGTCGTGTCTTCATTTGAACTCTCCTAAGAAAAACAGAAACCAGAAGCTTTATCAAGAAAAGAAAAAAAAATAAATATGTATAGAAAGTCTTAAAGAGTTGCTAAAAGCACCATGGTCACTTCAGCGTTTCGAAGAGGCCATGGTGCTTAACCCATTCAATTTGTTTTATAAAATAGATACATGAAACTAATGCAAGTTTTACTGGGGCACTATTAGGCCTCTCTCCTTGTGAACCCATAGGCTAGGGTTCTGTTCATTACACGTCCTTAGATTAGACTGCAATCATGGGTGCAGAATGTCTTAACATATGGAGCAATAGCATAATACTTTTACACGAATCGCAACAAATTCCAAATTTGGTGACAAGCAGAATAAAAGATAGACCATAATTCACTACACTTTGAATGTCACCACACCAAATGTGGCAAAACCATCATCTATTGCTTCCCAGGCCAGAGAAGGCTCCAAATGAGCCTGAATATGATCTGGATGTCAGACATATTGCTGAAATCTGGGCCTAGATTTTTAGATTTTATGTGATTCAGTACTTAAAGGATCACTATAGGGTCAGGAACACAAACATGTATTCCTGACCCTATAGGGTTAAAATCACCATCTAGCCCCCCTGTGCCACTCATGCCTCCATAAATATAGCAACATCTTACTGTATTCAAGCCTGAAGCTGTAGATCTGCATGCTGTGTGCCTTAGAAAAACAAGCCGTCTGCTGACATCAGAAATGGTAGCCTGATCCAATCACAATGCTTCCCCATAGGATTGACCGAGACTGACAAGGAGGCAGATCAGGGGCAGAGACAGCATGATTCAAACACAGGCCTGGCCAATCAGCAGCTCCTCATAGAGATGAATTGAATCAATGAATCTCTATGAGGAAAGTTCAGTGTCTACATGCAAAGGGAGGAGATACTGAATGTTTGGATGCATTTTAGGCAGCCATGACCCAGGAAGGATCTCTAACAGACATCTTAGAAGTGGCCAGTGAAGTTATCACTAGGCTGTAATGTAAACACTGCTTTTTCTCTGAAAAGACAGTGTTTACAGCAAAAAGCGTGAAGGTAATGATTCTACTCACCAGAACAAATTCAATAAGCTGTAGTTGTTCTGGTGACTATAGTGCCCCTTTAATTTTCATTAGCAGCCATCTAAAATTATGGATGCTTTTCTCTTGTCATTTCTGGAATGAAGGAAAGAAAATATGTATAGATCTAAACCGGCCATCCCTAGTTTGATAAGTAGCCACCACCCACTGGCCTTGAGTGGCAACACTAGGTTTTATTTAGTCACCCACTGACCAAAGTATGGGAAGAGTGGTGTACAAGGATCTGAAAAAAAGCAAGTCAATGATAGTTTATGCTGGACAAGTAGTTTAGTCAATTACCCAGGCAGTTACTGTGTAATGTAATCATACATATACACACAAACACAAAACTGGTGTTGCAAGAAGTGGTCATTTTCCATCTGTCATAAGGGGAGATTGAAATTTTACTCACCTTTCCTCCTGACGTACTTTTCGCTCTTCCTGTTGTCTTAAAGCTTTTTCATTGTCCAGAGCAGCGCTGAAATGAAAACAGTCTAATTTCAAATCAGTTCAGCAAGTGCACGAACTGTAACAGCAAGTAACAACTGAACATAAAAACACCAAAAAAAAATATAAATAAGTTTTATGCTCCTAAATATTAATCCATGTATTTCCACTTCTAAGAACTACACAAATTCTAAAACAAGGGCTGTTTTAATACGTGGCATTCACTGGGGGAATAATACATACATACATACATACAGCCTAACAAGCCATCCACCACAAGAAAAAAAAAAAATAAAAATAAATAAAATTAAAAAAATTTGAGAATGTACAAAAAAAAAAAAAAAGTGGGCATATAAATATCATCATCCTGATATACATTTTATAGAAACACTTATCCCAAAACAGTGTTGTGGTAAATGGGGGTCTTCACCTCCCTGCACACATTTGCTTGTGGCTGCAGTGATTTAGAAAAATACATAAAATTGCTGCATCTATAGGATTGTCCATTCTCTGACGTTAAAGAGGGAATTTATAGAAACGTACACTATGATGGCACATAAGAACCATTTGGCCCATATGGTCTGCCCAATTTTCGAAACCCTTTCATTAGTCCCTGGCCTGACCTTATAGCTAGGATAGCCTTATGCCTATCCCACGCATGCTTAAACTCCCTCACAGTGTTACCCACTACCACTTGAGCTGGAATGCCATTTCCTGCGTCCACTACACTCTGTAAAGTAATACATCCTGATATTATTTTTAAACCTTTGCCCCTCTAATTTAGGACTATGTCCTCTTGTTGTGGTAGTTTTTATAATATTATATACTTCCCGATTTGCTGCCCAGATCACTACATATTCTGTGTACAAGGTTTGCATAGCATGCAAGGCACTACCTCCACTCTCCAATTCTCACAAAGAGGCCAAGCCTCAGTTGCACACTTGTGCAGTGAACAGATAATGAGATTGTCCTACACAGCCCCATTCACAAAACTGATGTTACGGTCTAACTATGCATCCATGGCCTGGCTCCTATCAGTTTATTCATCCTATGTGATCAATAGGACTGCTGCCAGAATTGAATTATAGAATCCATAAAGCCCTAAAAGTCCATTCTCCATAAACTAGTCTTTAGCCTGGTCTAGGAGGAGATACCTGCCATTGCTACACGGTGGAGATGTGGCAAGTTTCATTAAAAACTTTTATATTGGTGCATTTTATATAAATAGATAAAAATGCAAATTAAAAAAAAAAAATTATATATAAAAAAAAAAAAAATTATAAGAGGTCAGTCTCCTCACAGACTGAACTGGCCATTGCCAGTTACAAAACCATATTTTTAAAAGCGGAGGGGAAAAGAAAAAAAAAAAAAGAAAAGAAGAAGTACTTTGGCCATTGGCAAGATTATTCGTATATACAGCAGAGATACAGGCGAATCAGTAAATTTTAGGGTAGCACTTAACATGTGATGTAAACCTATGATTTAATTAGGAAAAACTTATATAAAGAGGAAAACAAAAACACCAAGAAGTCTTGTGGGTTTTGTTGTTTTAGGAGATTAGCAAGGAATCTGCACATGCCTTACTATTTAAATAGACAGCTAAAACCATGAGCCTTTTGAAGATTCTATTATAAGTAGAACTTGGGACTGAACTGTTACGTGACCTGTTTGATTCAAACTAAAAGCAAACAGGGGGATCTGCTCAGCAAAAGTGGTTTACGGTAGCAATACATATTTCAGTATAAACACCAAGTTCCCAATTGTAATTCAGGAAGCTTAATGTGACAATATTATCTATATTCTGCTTGTCAAATAGATGCAACAGTGAAGGTAAAACACAGGCCGGCCAGTGTAAACACAATCTGTATCTCGTGCCAGCCATAGTGTTGCTTCACTTGTGCACCAATAGTGTTATAGAGGACCTAGATTTGCTCCTCTTATTTGCGGTAAAAATAAATATAAATGCTATGATCAGTGATACAATGAATATACATATTCACTTTGTGGATTTGAGATGGCCATAAATATTAGAACCAGCTACCAACTTGAAGATTTCAGCACGACACCCCATTTAAAATCCCACCACAAATAAACTGGAGGCTCTTTTCCATGGACAAAGAAAACAACATGTAGAAAGAGTGTTACAATACTGTAGATCACTTTCATTGTGTTAGGTTGCTGGAGTGTTTCTTTAACCCCTTAAGGACCAAACTTCTGGAATAAAAGGGAATCATGACATGTCACGTGTCCTTAAGGGGTTAAAGAGCAAAACTTTAACTAAATTAACTCTTCCCCCCTCCAGTAAGTAGTTAAAATGTAAAGTAAACATTGTTTCAGTGTTAATGTGTTTGGAGTGTTCATATAATACAAACAGTATGGACAATATTTGGAAAAGAAGACTACCAAGGGTTAAGAACATTGAGATGCAGTATTGTATGTGACTTAGTGAATAAAGAGGCAGCAAAATACTAAAAAATTCCCCATAACACAAACCCTTTGAAAAACATGGCATATTGCAATTTGCACAAAAACCACCAACAATTTACCAATTTTTCTGCCTACGCAAAAAGAAAATGCACAAAGCAAGGTTTCATGAATAGCCTATTGATTTCTCACTTTTTGCCACCTTAATATAAACAGGGTTCATCCACTCATCAATCAGTAGGATGTTTTGATTTGAAGAGGAGATTAAAGTGATACAGGTGAAACCGCTTATTAAATGAGAATCAATATTTAAACTATAGTTGGTAAAGTGACATCTTTATCCTTTCATAGTACAAAAGTAAATATGACATTTATGTACAAATAAAATGCACATGTGACATGAAACCAGAGTGGGGATTAACTGAATTGGATTATTTTTGTTGATTCTTGTTTCACTTCCATTCCCCATAGCCTATAGTAGCAGAGTGACAGAATAGGGATGGGTTGCAGATTACCTTTCCTTACAATGACACTATAGTTTAATGAAGCCGTTTTAGTGTGCAGATCGTGCCCCTGAAGGCTCACTGCTCAATTATATGTCATTTTGGAATTAAATAACTTTTGTTTCTGTTTATGCAGCCCAAGTCACACCACCCCTGTGACTCACACAGCCTGCATGGAAAAAAAATGGTTTAATTTTTAATTAAAAGTTTTTATCTCCTGCTCTGTAAATTGAACTTTATTCACAAACAGTAGGCTTCTACAAAGTCTAGCAAGCTATTAACAGAGCAGGAGATAAATTCTAAATTAAACAGAATTTGCAATAAAAGGAAGTTTAGATTAACTTTAGATTAGATTACATTGGATGACGCTTTACAGGAAGTGTTAAAGAAGGCTATGTAAGTCACATGCAGGGAGGTGTGCAGACTGCAGAGGGCTGCATAAACATTGATTTATCTCATAAAATTGCAGAGAATTAGTCAGTGAGACTGCAGAGACATGATCTATACAACAAAACTGCTTCATGTAACTAAAGTGTCCCTTTAAAATACCCTGAAATGGAACAAAACATGCAGAGAATTTTCACTAAAATATACTATGCCAGTGTGCTTACCTTCTGCTCTTCTTCTTCTTTCTGCAACAACAACAATAACAGCAGATACATATAGAAAGGATGATGATTCCTCCAACCACAGACATGGCGATGATCAAAGCTTCAAAATTAACTGGAGTAAAAAAAAAAAAGAAGTTAATTTAAGATATGAAAGATTAAATCACATCATATAGTTAAACAGTACCAACTTTAATGGAGTATGGGGTACCCATGAGGACTGATCCATAACAAGTGTCCTGAAAGTCAAGGGAAAAACACCTAACTTTCTATACTTAAACCGGGTTCAGCTATGTGTGCAATGCAGAAAAAAAAAAAATGAATAAAGTGAAAAACAAATCCGACTGACCAGTTTAAAACTATTGCTGTCCATTTGTAAGCATACAGCCACTTAATGTTATCCCTTTGTTGCTAACAGGGATAAAAGAAAACAGAAAAAAAAAAACAAAACAAAAAAAAAACAAGTTAACACATGACAAATAAAAACTAGTTTATTCAATTCAAAATATAACTAGACAAAAAAAAAAAAATATTCTCCATTTCACCTACAGTTACAAACTTTTCTATTCAGATTTAATGTGTGAAAATTCAGAGTTGAATAAATAACCCAGGGTGTCTCAGCTTACTCCCAGTCTCTCCCTCAGAACTCCCCATAGTGAGCACGTATGTGCAAGGGTTGTGCATGCATGGTGTGCCCCAACTTGGTCTAATTTGCATGGTATGCCCCAGCTGTGTGCAACTTGCATGGTGGGAGATTTTTCCTGGCTGTGTGCATGGGTGATGCACCCAGTGAATTTGTAATCTGTTTTGCACCCTCTCCTGCTTTTCTTTTTGCAGGGAGGTAGGCTGCGATCCATGGTGGTCCAACAGGGTTTAAAACTCCCTTGTTTTCCAGTTTAAGAAGTCTCCACCTCTGGTGGGTGCAGACCACAGCAGTCACTCCCTCACAGTCACTGCATTCCGCAGGTCAGAGTGTAGGCTTGGAATTCTGGTAGCCATGATTCATTAGTGAGCGCTGGACTGTGAGGGAGCAATTACTGTGGTCTGCATTCACTAGAGGTGCACTCCACATGCGCTCAGCCTGAACAAATCCTCCCTAAAGAAGCCCTGCTACTATTCAGTGGCAGGGATACAGTGAAAAAAAAAAAAAAAAAAAAAAACCTTACACTTACTATGCAAAGTAGTGCTTAGGCTGACCTTTTAGTGCATAAACTGTTAATCCACTCAATCACCAACTTGGACTCAAAAACTCCACTCAGTGAGTAGAATTTCCCCCCTGGCGTGTGCAGTGGCAAGTAACTTCTAAGGCCTGGCTGGTAGCATGGGACTGCATATGATCTGTATGTTATATTGCTTAGAATTCTAATACCTGCATTGCATTACTACTGTGTGTCTTTAAATCTCCTGCTCATGTTTGTTATGCAACTATATTTTTGCTTAGGACTCAAACAAAAAAAAAAAAAAAGAACACAGTTACCGGTAACTAGGTTTTTTTTTTTTTTATTGGATATTCTTGAAATACATGAAAGAAGTAAGTGACCAAACGCTACAGTGATGGAATTTGTCATCTCTTCCCAGTAAAATTATTGCGTGCAATAGTGTGTGCAGAGGCATCAAGACTACATCATCACATCTTCATCAGTGGAAAAACAAATACCAGAAAGTACGCCATCACGAACACTGGGAGGATAATTAGTCCTGCGACAAATGTGTGAGTCCAGACTGCTTAAAGAGAACAAACACTATCCCTGCCCTTAAATTAATTAATAAATACTATTAAAACTAAACTCGTCAGTGCTGGCCCAAGCAATTACAATCCAAGCTGAAGTAAATTAGGATCTTTTAATGGTTAATTGAAGCACCATGACCACTTAAAGTATCATTTACACTTCAAATCTGTGGAGTCTATGTGCAGCATATACAGAGATCATGAACTTTGCGGCCAGAGTTTAATTCTGTGCATAAGACATTTGGCGTCAGCATTCATAGCATACTGGTAACAGGTTACCAGCGGCACCTCAGCTCCTTATCAGAAACGTTCCTCCCCTGCCGTGAGAAGGAAGTCACAAAAAGTGAACTGCAGAGAACACGTTGAGGCTACAGGAAGAACTTTGCCTCAACATGGTGTTGTATACATTTAATTAAAAAAAATAAAATAAAAACACAAGCACGCTTTTGGTTTCAGTAACTCTTTATGGCTCATACTGCAGGGATGGTATAAGATTGCAAAAAACGGGGCGCAAGATAATACTAAGAACGGGCAGCGGCTGAAATAGCCTGCCCTTCGGTGGGTCCCCGCTCAGATCTCCAGCTGGTTTTAGCTAACAAGGCTGAAACGATTGTCTGGGGTTGCTGTGTCCTTCGTGCAGAGGGAATTTGCTGGCCTTTCGGATCTGGACTGCTCGATTGGGTGGGACCAGTCTGATATGTTCTCTCTGTAATGGCACAAGATGAGCTAAAACCAGCTTCAGTTCTGAGCGGGGACCCACCGGAGAGCAGGCTATTTCAGTTGCGGTCTGTTCTCAGAAAACTCTTGCGACCGACGTTTTTTTTTTTTACTCGTGGTATAAGATTGGACTGATCTGGAAATATTTTAGATATGAATTTTTCAAGCAACACACACTTTATGGTGTTTCTCAAGGTTAAAGAGATACTATAGTCACCAAAACAACTTTAGCTTAATGAAACCCGCAGTCTCACTGCTCAATTCTCTGCTATTTAGGAGTCAAATTGCTTTTGTTTCTATTTATGCAGCCCTAGCAACACCTTCTTGCAAGTGATTTACACAACCAGCATGAGAAAAAAAAAAAAAAAAAGCTTTTAAAGACTAAAAATTAAACCATTATCTCCTGCTCTGTAAATTGAACTTTAATTACATACAGGAGGGTCCTGCGGGGCCTAGAAAGCTATTAACACCAGAAGATAAGAATCCTAAATTATAAATAATGAAAGTGTAAACATTAGATTACTATTTACAGGAAGTGTTAGGAAGACAGTGCAAGTCACATGCAGGGAGGTGTGGCAAGGGCTGCATAAACAAAGTGATTTAACTCCTAAATGGCAGAGAATTGAGCAGTGAGGCATGTTCTATACACCAAAACTGCTTCATTAAGCTAAAGTTGTTTTGGTGAATACAGTGTCCCTTTAATTACACATTAAAAACATACAAAACACTAAAACAAAACAAACAATTACTCACCCCAGCAAACTCCCCAGCGGGCACTACTCAGTTTACATATGGATGCTGGAGGCAGGAGCTTTTTGAGTGGGTAAACCATACATTCATTGTCTGTGCTGCACCAAAGGCACTAGAGAGGAAAAAAAAAAAAAAAATTCTTTCATGTTAACAATTCAAAAGTTAAAGACATCTGCATGAAAAAAAATAAACTATTAAAAATTCCCAAAATGTCATGCTGGTAACTGACCGGATCACTGCTAGGACAACGACTAATGGCGATCATGAGAAGAACAAGAATTACCACCAGTAAGTACTGCAAGTGTCCCATAAGGCTTTGGGTCTTTGCAGAAAGGATCAACACCCCCTGAGAGTGGACCTGCATAAGTCTTTAAAAAACAAGCCACACACCAATTGTGGTGCCTTAAATATTAGTGAAACCTTTTTTTTCCCAGTGCGTCCAGTTGAAAACGTATCAAAAGATGTCTAGATACATCAACAGGTGCACACAGATTTTGGTAGCCAATAGCAGCTTTCTAGGTGTATAACGTTTCCTTGGCACTGTGGGATAATGGTTGCTAGAAGGAATCAACTGATTTTGCTATGTCCTAAATTCTAAGATTGCTTTGTCGTCGGTTGTTGTCCAGAGTATTAAGTTAAAGTTATAATGTTCAATTAACGGCCTGTAACAAAGTCACTTTTACTGTGGTTCCTGCTTGTTGCTGTGCCATAAAGGAGATATTCCACTTTGGTGCTTTCACTGTGGCATAGAGGAGGTGAAGGTCCTCCCACATCATTACCAGATCAACACTGAAAGGTGTGGAGGGGGATTTCAACAGGGGTGCCCAAGACATCCTCTGAGGAGAAGTGAGGATATCAGATAGTGGTGCTATTTCAGGCTTAGGCCTGCATGATAAATTATTTCCGATATTTTGGGATCCCGTGACAGGGAGAGCTTTAAGCTTTTTTGCGCCTCTTCCACATGTGTGCACTGTGAATCAAATGCGAGAATGAGGTATCTTCTCTGTGTAAGAGCAGAATATGAGGAAAATTAAGGCTGCCAAAGTGGAGATATGTGACCACTCTCCTCAGTGGCCAAGTCCCACCCCCATTGAATTCTTAATAATTAGAACTATTCCATATAGGCATATTAAAATCTGATTGCTAGTTTGGTAGTTAGGAATGAAGTGGATTGCTTTACTTGCTAGTTAAAATACCGGTATTCATTGTACAAGCATACAGCACCTGGGCAGTCATGTACGACCCGGTTGAGCAGTTAGTAACCTTTACATATATAAGCACTAATGCATTCTGGTTTTAGATGAAACCCTTGAGAATCCTAACCAGCAGCTTTAATTGTATACAGCCATGCAGCTGAGTTACATGCCATTTTCCTAACTAGGTTTACAGAGATTTTCAGGGTCTTTAAAAGGCAAATCTGTATTTACTTCCCTTGACATCATACACCATTTTTCCCTAAACATTTCTATCAAGGGATTTAGCATTCTCCCTCCCTCCAACCAAACCATGTAAAAGCAAATACAGCCCGTGGATAAACAAATACTTTGAAACTTTCAGGGAGAGAGAAAGGACACATATTTAAGATATGTGCTCAGCATAATGACACAGTAAGCAGGGTTCAGTTCCCTGGTGAGTGAAAATTCAGCTCTCGTAGGTAGAAAAATCACTGAGTGCTATTTACCCTCCAGACTTTAAGTGTTAAGAAGGCATGGCTAGAAGCGTAGGACTCCATATTCAGCCCGGCATTAAGAATAAAAACTTAGATTTGCCCAACATTCAGACAGTATTGCAGCTCTTGAAGATCAAGTTAAACTGTTCTTCGGTTATATTCCCTCCTCCATTAGATGCTCACCCAGTCTCCACTCCTTCAAAAAAAATAGTTAAAAACCCACTTCTTCATAAAAGCGTATGAATTAAACGGTTAATAACTCCTGACTGATTCCCCTTCTGCAACTGTCACTAATCTAATACTATCCTTACCTTTTTGTGTCATTTTACCCCACTCCCTCTAGCATGTAAGCTCATTGAGCAGGGCCCTCAACCCCTCTGTTCCTGTGTGTCCAACTTGTCTGGTTACAACTACATGTCTGTTCGTTCACCCATTGTAAAGCGCTGCGGAATTTGTTGGCGCTATATAAATAATATTCTCTCATCATGCCATGTCATTGAGGTTTCCTGCTATCATAGCATTTAAATGTAAAAAAAAAAAAAAAAACACAACTTAAGTGTACCAGGATGTTGTAGTGGCTATTTAGAATTTACTCTGCAATTTCATATATCGCAGGTGTGTTGAAACTGCAATGCATCGCTTGCAAGGTTAAACACATGATCGCGAATAGAGTTACTTCACTGTGATTACAGAGCAAGCCTGGTCAATCAAATGCTGCTGTGCTAGCCTCCCAATGCTTTCCTATGGTTAAAAATCATCAGTCTGAATGATGGCAGCCAGGGAGGGGGAGCAGCCGCGGTATTAAAGCAATACTCCTTTCAAACCCTCATGACTTCACCCCAACTCCCCCCTAAATAGGTTGGGGGAACACCAACACCAGGAATACATGTTATTCCCAATGCTGTAGTGTTCCTTTAGGGGCTGTAGTGTGGGGGTGGTGGATAAGGCTGTGTTATGGGACTGGATAGGAGAGAAAATGGATTCATGTTGGTCTGGAGCCACAGTATTTGGTTTGCAAACCACGTCCATGGTTCTCTATACCCGATATTCCCCCAAGAATCAGAGTGCTGGGTGGCAATATGTAGCAACTTTGAGGGGCAGACCACACACACTCCACGCATCCCTCAGCATTACAATGAGGCGATTCTCCATGTACAGCCAGGTGAACTAGGCAGAAAGCCACTTCGGGGTACGGTTTTAAAAATTGTAGTCAATTCTGAGGGACAATGGCTATTTACTAGAAGTAGTATAATCTCATTACACATTAAGTGGTAGCTTTACCATATAGTACTGGATGCAGCAAATCTGTGTAGAGCAGTCACGTTACATACTACATAAAAACCATATATGGAAATAGATATACTGAAAACCTAGAAAGCTATAATAAAAATAAACATCCAAGACACTACTTTGAAGTATATATTGATCGTGGAGTTAAAATTGAGATGACAAAATAAAGCGGGAGAAGGCAGGAACGTACGGACATTTAGCCAAAAATGCAGTGGCACACCCTATAATAAAACCCCATGTTAAACAGGAGGATAGCAGAGCCTGCAGTAAACTGTGATAACCCAGTACAAGCGGGTAGTCGAATCACCGAGGGGTCTAGCCTACCCTCATCCTCTGGTCCATGTAACAACCTCATAGCTCGAGAAAACGCCAGGGGAAGGACTCACGGCACTGCAATCCTTTCCTACTCATCACCTCACACAGTATGCTGTGACCCGGAAAAACTGAGGACCAGAAGGTAAGTTTTCCCCAAGACACCTGTGGTCCAGAGGTACTAACCATGATAAACCCCACCCACAACTACACACCTATGGCCTTTACATATATTCTGTTTCCACATCATGTTTAAATCTTACTTTCCCATGATTTCTCTACATGTACATCAAAAGGCACTCATACCAAGAGTTACCTCTGGTAGATTATCTTTCACTAACGGGACTCATTTCTTGAGTTACAGGGTTAAGTGAAACAAAATACAGTTCCACATGTAATAGCAACATACGTAACACTTCCCCATCATTAAAATGTATTCACCAAACTGGGCTTTCTGGAGAACTGGCAAAAGAAGAGACTGCGCACTAGACCGAATGTTATTTCATTAAAAAAAAAGCCAAAATAATGACCATGAATTGTATTACCAGATTGGGATTACTCTTATCTACAGATTGCCATAACAGACTGGACCGACTTGCACTAATGACACTATACAGGTTTCTGGAATAATTCCAGCAGGTCTTAGATTTATTAATCCAGGTACCAATTGTTTCAAGAGGAATGACAGTAGTGCTGGTTCTATAGTTTGAATGCCCTCAGTTGGCCATGTATTTAAACCTGATTAGAATGACTTGCTTATAATTTTCATTCCTCCAGTGGGAGTCAACTTGGACAGAGATTGTGATTTAGTACTTTGCTTTAATCTAAAATATTATTCTATTATTTTAAAAGAATACGCCAAGTACCATAACCACTACAGCCTGCTGCATAGTACTGTGTGTACTAAGCAACTGCTGTTAAATATAGTTATAAAAAAGGAGTGATTAAAAACTTTAACAGAACAAATACTATAGTATATTGCAGAATATTTAACCCCTTAAGGACCAAACTTCTGGAATAAAAATGAATCATGACATGTCACGTGTCCTTAAGGGGTTAAAGTTCTTTTAACCCCACAATACAAAAGCTACTTTGTCCTTTTCAAACTTGTAACACATGACTAGGCAGGTCTACCATGACTCACAGGAAACTGATCATATATGATGTAACTCTTGATTTGTGGAATTCTCAAGCGACACATTACAAAACTTCAATGGAAAGAGTATTATCTCATCCAGCAACAATGACTCTAGAATTTTATACGACTGAGCTGCCATACATCTACTCAGCAAGTTATTACTTTACAACAAGTCCAACCTTTATTAAGAGAAATTTAATTACATCCAGGGTTATTCACTAAAGACTGAGCTGCCAGAAATTCCAGACGCATACCCAAACTGGAAACAAAGCTGACTTGGAAAATATATTGCTAGTTTGGCCTAAAGGTTAAAATAGAAAACATAGAATGTGACGGCAGATAAGAATCATTCGGCCCAATATTTAGGGATACTTTGAATTAGTCCCTGGCCTTATCGTAAGTCTAGGATAGTGTGACGGACCGCCTGGCACCCAGACCGGGTACCTCCGTCAATTGCAGCTTCCTAGTACCATAAGCACTGCACTGGAACACCATAACCACTGTAAACCACACAAACCGCCGCAGTTTGGTTGGGGTCTCGTCGCCGTCCACCCACCCTGGACCCAAGACCAGCTTCCAGTAGGTAGACCTCTCCTAGTCCAGAGAGTGTAGCAGGAACAGCTCTTACAAGAGCTTAGTGATTATAGTGGTTATAGCAATCCCTAGAGTGAATGTAGTTCTCCAAACATGAGCCTAGACTTCATGAAGAATAAAACAAGTGTGTTTAATGGAAGCCACAGCTGGCTTTTTATGCAAGTCCCCATGCAAGGGCACTCCCACATGGACCTTGTGGAGGACAGGGACACAAAGTTTACAGCCAATAACAATACAGTGACAAAGTATGACACTCCTATTACAAACAGAGTCAGATACTGTAATAACTCCATTACCTCCAGGCAAAAAAAAAAACAAAAAAAACCAAACACCAAAACACATTTTACAAAGTCTCATAAGTACCCCAAAGCACAACATTCCCATAAATGTCACACCCCCTGATAGCCCTGACCTGGGTGAACAACATATGCAAAAATCACCCAGTTTAGAGCAGGGGTTCAGGAATTTCCTGGAAGTCTCTTTTTGACCGACCGCACAGCTTCATGCCCAGAATAGTTCCAGAGAATTAGGCTGTGCGGCCGGTCTATTTCAACAGTCAAAGTAACGTTCAAATTGTCGAACTGAGCCATTTGTGCATCTGGTTCAGTAGATTATTTCTACTGAACGGTGCTCCGTTCATGCAATTCTAGTCGAACCTAACTGGAGGTGGAAGTCCCAGCGGTGTTCGTGCCGCTGAGTGTCTGATTTTAGTTCCATGCGCTCAACGACAAAACACCACTGGACGCGTTCAACTAAACAAGATGGCTGCCACCACGTGTTTGACTTTACAAACTGTGACCATCCAGCCGTTCGTCAACTTGGCTGAAGTTAACTCCCAGCCTATGAGGTAAATAAGCTGCATACTCCACTTGCGTGTGGTCCGACTGTTCGGTTGTTTGTTCGGTAAACGCACACCATAAGCATAATCCATTCGGTAGCCCAATAAACTGAACCGTAGAGGGGAAAAGGCATGAACAAAGTCTTTCCACAGTCCTGAAGCCAGGTCTAATACATGGGCCATAGTCCTTGGGCAAGAGGCTGGCAAACAAGCCCCTCCAAAAACTTGTGGCAAACTCATAGGAAAAGGGGAGTTTGTCACAAATAGCCTTATGCCTATCCCACCTCAGTGTGTTAACTTCTACCACTTCAGCTGGAAGGCTATTCCATGCATCCACTACCCTCTCAGTAAAGTAATGGTGAATGTTTGAAAAACTATTGCAGAACCAAATTTTACCATTATCTTATTAAAGAAACACTCCAAATACAACTTGCTTCTGTGCAGAGCAGTTACGTTACATAGAAATCATATATGGAAATAGATATACTGAAAACCTAGAAAGTTATAATAAAACAAACATCCAAGACACTACTTTGAAGTATATATTGATCGTGGAGTTTTGCCATGCATGTGCAATAGTTAGCCTTCTAATGTGGATTGGCTCAGATCAATTTTGATGATCTTGGCCAAGGAAGGGGATTGGGGCGGAGCCAGTCGCAGCAGACCCAGATGGCGCTGCAATAAAAGGGAAGTTTAATAAGTCTTGAGATTTTCAGCTTTGATAAATCTAACTATAATGCACTTTAGCAAGCTACTCTGAGCTTTAGTTCTTGGATGTTTGGTGCTTAGAAAGCAGAGCTGCAGGATTAGGAGGTCAAAGCTTTGTGAGAGACGAGGAATGGTTTAACTGAACAATTAAACATTGTAATGAAAATTCCGATCGGGATTACAAAACCATTTATAATCCACATTAGAACATGCAAAGTATGATGGGGATTGTGAGTAGGACACACTTCCTACCATAAATTGGAATAAACATAGTGTATTCAATGCAAACACAGAGAGGAGGGGATGTTTGTGCACAATTCAATTTCCTTCCAGTTCTGCTCGTCAGAGATTCCAGAGAATCTGTAGAACAGGTTTCCAGAGCAAATTACTTTTAAACTCATACAAGAAATACCTTAGCATGAAACAGAACAGGCAAACCATAAAGGGGCACTTCAGTTAAAAAATATACATGTTATAGATGTTCTCAAAACAAATATTTTAGAAGTACAGTATTTATTTTTTTAAATCATGAATAATTTGGAATGTGTTCATTGAGAGAGAATATGAATAGTGCACAATGTAGGGCATGGGTCCTCAAACTCCGGCCCCCCAGATGTTACTGAACTACAACTCCCATGATTCTCTGGCTATCTATGTAATTCAAAGAATCATGGGAGTTGTAGTTCAGCAACATCTGGGGGACCAGAGTTTGAGGACCCGTGATGTAAGGAAGCACTTTCAAGAATTGGTCAAAAGCCTGTAGATACTGGAATAAAAGCAAGGATATTGTATAATTTCCTGCAAGTGTGAGGTTTACCAGTATGCTAGTTTCTAAAATAAATTAACTATAGATGCCAGCCAAGGGTATACTAGACAATAATCTGTTCCCTGTCTCTGCTGTACCCCTTTAAGTGCACAGTATATACCATTGAGTGATGTCAAACTGAGTACAGATTATCCTATTAATTCCAAGAAAATATTAGATTAGAGCGATCACTAAAATTTTTATAGGGTGGCAAATGTAATCCAAGCAGTTTTCAATGAAGCTATTAATAAAATGCATTAAAATGTAAAGGGCGAGTTGACTTAGAAGTGTCCTTCTCAATTGCCTATTCCTACCCAACATAACTAATAAAAAAAAACATTATTCAGAAAATACATAGTTAAAAACCATGTTCATTGCATATTCCTTGGCAAGCGTACAAACTGTAGTTACTGAAGAAAAAAAAATTTAGACGCACAGGAAAACAAGGTCCTTAAGCCTCAGGGTGATTGAACAAGGAGCAGGAACACCTTATAAAATCATAGGTAAGAAAGCACAGATTGGAGATTAACATGTAAATCAGGATTTCCATAAGAGGACACTATAGTCTCCAGAACAACTACGGCTTAAAGGAAGACTATAGTCACCTAAATTACTTTAGCAAAATAAAGCAGTTTTAGTGTATAGATCATTCCCCTGCAATTTCACTGCTCAATTCACTGTCATTTAGGAGTTAAATCACTTTGTTTCTGTTTATGCAGCACTAGCCACACCTCCCCTGGCTATGATTGACAGAGACTGCATGAAAAAAAAAACTGGTTTCACTTTCAAACAGATGTAATTTACCTTAAATAATTGTATCTCAATCTCTAAATTGAACTTCAATCACATGCAGGAGGCTCTTGCAGGGTCTAGCAAGCTATTAACATAGCAGGGGATAAGAAAATCTTAATTAAACAGAACTTGCAATAAAGAAAGCCTAAATAGGGCTCTCTTTACAGGAAGTGTTTATGGAAGGCTGTGCAAGTCACATGCAGGGAGGTGTGACTAGGGTTCATAAACAAAGGGATTTAACTCCTAAATGGCAGAGGATGGAGCAGTGAGGCTGCAGGGGCATGTTCTATAAACCAAAACTGCTTCATTAAGCTAAAGTTGTTCAGGTGACTATAGTGTCCCTTTAATGCAGTTGTTTTGGTATAGCATGTCTCTGCAGGCCTTTTAATGTAAACACTGCCCTTTCAGAGTAACACCTCTAGTGGCAGTCACACATACAGCTACTAGTGGTGCTTTCTGGGTCAGTGCTGCATATTACATTCAGCTTCTCCTCATTTTGTATGGAGGTGCTGAACATCATAGAGATGCATAGATTAAATGAGTAGATGCAGATTTTGCGCAGCGTGGCGTTTTGCCATGCATGTGCAATAGCCTTCTAATGTGGATTGGCTCAGATCAATTTTGATGATCTTGGCCAAGGAAGTGGAGTGGGGGCGGAGCCAGTCGCAGCAGACCCAGGTGGAGCTGCAATAAAAGGGACGTTTAATAAGTCTTGAGATTTTCAGCTTTGATGATAAATGTAACTATAATGATTGTTGATATGTGCATTGGATTGTTTATGCAGTTTAAATCCCAGTAGATCAGTGTACTGGGAGCTCATTATCTGTGCAGGTAAAATGCTCTGGTTTTGGACATGTTCCATAGCTACAACTGCTTGTATTATATTAATGGGATGATCACACAAATATAAAATTTAATTTTTCAGGACCTACTGCTAAAATGTGTGCATACCAACACCTGCAGCAAATTGTAGCCTTGAGGGTAGAATACTTCAAAGTTATTAGCTTCCTAGCCATATTTACAGATTCACTATAACCAACTGTATAATATAAAAAAAAAGTTAAACAAAAAAAAAAAAACACAAAACAAGTTAAATGATTATGTCCGATGAGATGACTCATACTAAATACATATGTTGAAAAGGAATGTTCATGGAGTCATATAGGTTTCTTTAATGATAAATGTATTTTATTATAATATCCAAAACATCACATCTGATCACTAACCTTGACATTCTTCAGACACTGCTCACAGCTTGTGTTAGTCAATTGGGAACACACTGCAACAACAAGAATATAATCATTAATAACGGCAGATGTACATTATTGGACATAGCTTTACACTGTTCAATAAAACCACCAGTTGGTCGTTTTTTCCCCACAAAACAGTAGTAGCTAACTAAAATGCTCTATATGAAGCATTTTAGTTAGCTACTACTGTAGCTAACTGTCTGACTTTATTTATTAAAGTTGGTCAAATACAAAATGTCTGTAACAGTGTACATGGCATAGTGAATCAGATAGGGGGAAATTACAGGTCTACAACCGTATTGAAAAAAATGTCCATCTCAGGATCAGTAGGTGTCATATTCCTAATCCACAAAAAGTTAGAAGGACCACTACAGGCACCCAGACCACTTCAGCTCAATGAAGTGGTCTGGGTGCCAGGTCCCCTTGGTTTTAACCCCGCAGCTCAGAGAAACTGCTATGTTTACATTGAGGGTTAATCCAGCCTTTAGTAGCTGATGAGCCGTAAAAAAAATAAAAAATAAAATAAAAATATTATATATATATATATATAAAAATAAATAAATAATCTATTACCCTACTGTGACCCATGAAACCAAGCCAGAGGAATGCTGTTGGGGTACCTCAGGCATGTATGTATAAACCTTTGCACGCCAAAAAAACACAAATACAATGAGGAGTAAAATACAAAATAAGTCATTTGTTCACATGCTGAAAATAACAGACTGTAAACTCATTTGAGCAGGGCCCTCTTCAACCTATCATTCCTGTAAGTTTTCTTGTAATTGTCCTATTTATAGTTAAATCCCCCCTCTCATAATATTGTAAAGCACTATGGAATCTGTTGGCGCTATATAACTGACAATAATAACATAAAACATGAATCTTTTATTGTTTTTGTCAAAAAAAAAAAAAAAAAACAAGCACCAATGTCATCTGAAATCAGCCAAGCAAACAGGTATACAGGAAGTAAAACTACCAGCCAAGTAGTTAACCTCAGAGAGCAGGTTGTTAAGGTATGTTAAATAAACAGCTGCTAAATCATGCAGGTTTGTTTTGCTGAAGTGTGAATAGACACTGGGAATGTAGTTCATTCTTCTAACCCCTACAGCAAACTGATAGTACTGCTACAGACAAATCAAAAAATATCCAAGAGGACGAGTGACATTCTTGAAAACTCACCAATCTGTAATTGTGGAATATACTGTGGAACTAGCTCCTCCAGAACAGACAGTAGAAACAAAGTATCTATGAGCATATGTATCTATTTATCAATTATGCTATGTGTGCACCAGTTTAGTAAACTACAGGGATATTCTAAATCAGTTACTGGGACAGGGTTATTCCTTCGTATTAATAGTCCAATTAAATCACTGGGCATGAGAGAGCATTCTTCTTCAAGGTTGTCAAACTTTGGCCTCTCAGATATTGTTGGACAGAATTTTGGGAGTTAGTCCAGCGATCAACCATTCGGACCTCACAGACCACTAAAAACTTACCATTTTGAATTCTGCGGACTACGAACATGAATTTTTTATAAATAAAAAAAAGGTACCGACATCTTTAGAATAATGTATGAGGTGGTGGAGTTTTTGGCGCTTGTATTCTGGATGTGTGGCAGCTTTGACTCCCCTAACCAGAGTCTCTTCTTTCTGGTGATATGGTTGATGTGCAGAAAAAAGTGCAGGGAGGCAACACCACAAGCGCTGCCTCCCTGCACCCTTTTCTGCCCATTTTTAGAATAATGATCATAAAAGTTCCATGTTATTAATATGCAATACACTTGTTTAATTATAACAAAATTATTAGTGTGACATTTGTTGCTGCTTGTTTGCAACACAGAGGGCCGAGGAAGGAATCTTAAAGGACCACTCTAGGCACCCAGACCACTTCAGCTTAATGAAGTGGTCTGGGTGCCAGGTCCAGCTAGGGTTAACCCATTTTTTAATAAACATAGCAGTTTCAGAGAAACTGCTATGTTTATTAATGGGTTAAGCCTTCCCCCCCTCTAGTGGCTGTCTCATTGACAGCCACTAGAGGCGCTTGCGTGCTTCTCACTGTGATTTTCACAGTGAGAGCACGCCAGCGTCCATAGGAAAGCATTGTAAAATGCTTTCCTATGCGACCGGCTGAATGCGCGCGCAGCTCTTGCCGCGCGTGCGCATTCAGCGGCGTAACGGAGGAGGAGAGGGAGGCAGAGAGCTCTCCGTCCAGCGCTGGAAAAAGGTAAGTTTTAACCCCTTTCCCCTTTCCAGAGCCGGGCGGGAGGGGGTCCCTGAGGGTGGGGGCACCCTCAGGGCACTATAGTGCCAGGAAAACGAGTATGTTTTCCTGGCACTTTAGTGGTCCTTTAATTTGCAGCGTTTCTGCTTGAAGGCAGGGAAACGACCAGGTACTCTAGGACCTGGCTTATATTATTTTCACAGGTTATTTGAGAAAAAAACACAGGGTGTTGAAGATATACATATATTAAACCTAAAGAAAGAAAAATAAAACATCTGAAAATAGCAGTTAAAGTAGTAAGCCTAACCAGGCACCACACAACTGCCTACTTTTTAATTAACAGTCTTAGCACCAAAATTATTTCATCTTTTAGGGCACAGCTGTTGACCCTACAGTCTTGCAAATATAAACTGCTCTGTTTCTCAGCTACAACATTGTTAACAATGTGTAATTCCTGCACCTCTAGGGGCTTTGAAATAAAATAGATTAAATTATTGAATCTATTTGACATCCAGCATAAGCAGGTTAAGTATGCTATTAGAGAGCAGGTAAAGAGTGGGTGTCGCCATTTTCTTCTGTCTGGTTCTCTTCTGCTCCTGGTGCTGAAGTGCCAAGAGCTTACATCACGGCGGTACTCCAGAGTATGGCACTGAGGTCTACAGTGGATCCTGTGTGACAGTGCTGCTTTACACAATGGTTTGAAGGGGGAGATTTACTTAATTTTCAACTCTCCACAATGCCCTTCTACCTCTTAGTCTGAGATCATCAGTTAAGATAATCTCAGTCAAACCCATAGTGAAACAGTGGAAAGTTAGTGTACATGCGCAGCAAAACACCACACTGGGCCAATCAAATTATCTCTCTGAGACCATCTGATTGAATAGGCAAGTTTAACTCTGCTATTGGGGCAGAAGCGCATGCAGCGGTTGTCAGTATGAACCATGTCAACTCTGCAATGTAAACATTGTGTTTCATGCAAAACAGGCAGGGGTGAACCTACAAGAGCATAGCATCCTGACCATTTCACTGAGATGAAGTGATTTTGGTGCCTATAGAATCCAATTAGAGCACCTCCAGGGGAGGGAGGAAGCCTGGATATCCTTTATTGATAACAGATATTAGGAGGAGATTCTCTCTCTCCCCCCCCCCCATTACATAATTACAGTATGAGTATCCCCTGGGGGTAGGAGAGTTATTACTGTGAACTTACAGTACAAGGAGTGCTAATCTCTAATAGTAGGAGCAGCCAAAACCAAGTCAGATCAGTAATATCTGAACTACAACTCCCATGATACATTACTGAAAGCTAACAATGTATCCTTGTAGATATTACTGTTAGTGTAATGTATGGGGGAGGTGGGGGGCGGGGGGGCTATATATATATACACACAGACCCTCCAACCTGTTCTGGTACTACAAGCACTGTAATGTGGTGCCAGCATTAAGCATGGCAGGGAGCTGGCATAGTAACACACAGGTAGGGAATGAGTTTAGCCCATTGTGGGGGGGGCAGTACTGAGCTGTGTTGGAGGGAGGACATATTATTCTCTATGTAAAGTAAATAGAGCGAGTTCAGGCCTCTCCGAGCTCACCTGTAGCATCAGACTCTGTACCGGCCATGATCCCGGCCACACAGCCCAGCAGGCACAGAGACACGGTGACCCACCGTCCCACAGACTCCATCTTGTCAACCGCCCTCGGAGCTCCCAACCGGTGTTATGATTACTGCCACTCCCCCTCCCCTATCGCAACCTCAACGGCTCCGCCCACTGCGGGGCCCCGCCCCAGAAAAACATGGTGATCCAATCAAAAAAGCAGAGGAAGGCAAAACACGGAGAGCCCCGCCCATACCTAGCCCCGCCCCTTGACCTGTTGCCCACACTTGCAAACAGCGATGGAAAAGGGAGACAGAGAGTGAGTGTGAGAGACAGGCAGAGTGAGAGAGACACAGAGTGAGTGTGAGAGACACAGAGTGAGTGTGAGAGACAGGCAGCATGAGAGACAGACAGCATGAGAGAGACACAGAGTGAGTGTGAGGGACACAGAGTGAGTGAGAGACAGGCAGAATGAGAGAGACACAGAGTGAGTGTGAGAGACAGGCAGAATGAGAGAGACACACAGAGTGAGTGTGAGGGACAGACATTTTCTACTTACCTGACTTCCCCCTCATCTGGCATCGGGAGAATGGCTTCAGCTGTGTCAAGGGAAGATGTGGTAGCCTTACTGCAGGCGTACCTTGCCTCTCATGGATCCGGTGCTTTGGAGGAGGTGATCGCTGGGGTGGATAATCGCCCGGCTCCTGCTGCAGCTTCAGGGACTTCTTCTATTCCGTTGGATGGCGGTAGGAGGACCAGGCGTTCCAGGCCTCCTACGCGCCTGTCCCCCAGTCCGGTGTCCAGACGTCGAGGTCGCCAGCGGGAACAGCGGATTGGCACCGCCAGGTCTTCCCCGGTGAGGAGTGGAAGGAGACCGGCGGCGGCCATCATCGTTGGTGGACAAGATGGCGGCGTGGCGGGAAGATCTCGGAGCCCGCCGTCTCTTCCGGTCCAAACGGCGGGAAGAGAGAGGACGCCGGAAGTGACTGGAAGCGTCGGCGTGCGTCAGGCCGCCGGACGTCATCATCGGGCGCAACCGGAAGTGACGCGCCCCGCCGGATCACGGGACCCGGAAGTGACGCGCTCCGGCGGCGTCCCGAACCCGGAAATGACACACAACGTCGGCGCCCGGTCCAGAACACGGAGTTCTCAGGGCGCCGGACGCAGAGGACGGTCGGCAGGGAGAAGAGGAGACCTCAGGAGAGCCCAGACAGCCGGAGTCAACCCCCATCACCCTGAGGCAGCCGGTTTCGGAACGGTTAACCGGGAGCACACCTCAGGTCCAGCTGCAGATGTCCCTGGGAGCCCTTGGTTGGATTCTGGTTCTGAAGAGGAGGAGGTTTCGGTGCCTGCAGTTCCCCAGCGGTCCGGTGAGTGGTTACATTGCGCCGGCGTGCCAGGGACTGGGGCCCAAGATCAGGCTAGTGAGTGCTTGCGCCTGCTTAGGACCCTAGTGGCCACTTTCCCTTCCCATCTTACTGGGCTGGATACTAGACAGGTTCAGGGACAGGGTCTCCCAGGGCTGGCTGAGGGTCAGCCGCAGGGATGTTCTCACACCCTTAGGGCTCAGCCAGGGGCTTTTCGTGCCGGTGTGGGATGTGATCTTGCACCGTTAGGTTTGCATGTCCCTATGGACGTGCAAGAGAAGATTTGGAGAGGTGAGTATGTGGATCTGCTGTCTTTGGTCTCTCCCGACAAGGATTCAGTGGACAGACCACGCCGTGGGGAGGTACCCGAGGCGGAAAAAGGTAAGCAGATACCCAGAACCTTTGGTAATTGGTTGCAGGGGTTTAACATATTTGCCAGTATCCTAGTGCGCCGGTTCCCAGATAAGGCTCCGGCCCTGTTCGGGTACTTAGATCTGATTTGGGGGGCCTACAAAATTTATGGCGGGTAATGCTGGTATCGCTATGACCAGCAATTCCGACAAAAGATGGCGGTGTGCCCGGGTATGGATTTCGCCGTGCAGGATGGCAGTCTATGGCTGTTACTTATGACTCCCAGTAGACCATCCCCCTTTCCCGGGCCTGCCGGAGGTAACTCCGGCTCCTCAGCAGGGCAGAGAAAAGGTGTGTGTTGGCTCTTTAATGAGAGCCACTGCCGCTGGTATAGCTCCTGCAGGTTTCGCCATGAGTGTGCACACTGCGGGGGAGCCCACCCCGCGGTGCGCTGCTTCCGTAAGGGGAAGCCAGTTTCGGGAAAGGGTCCCTCTCGAGATGACGTACCTAGGGGAGAGGACGCCGGTGGACGCCCTAAGGATGCTCCCGTGGCTCACCCGGTATCATAGGGGTCGCGATGCTCAGACATTGTTTGATGGTTTTCAGGTAGGTTTCTGGATCCCCTTTGTTCCCTCTTCTTTCCCTCAGTTCGCGGACAATCTCCGCTCGGTTAAGGGCAAAGAAGATATTTTACAGCAAAAATTGCAGGTGGAGGTGCAGGCGGGTCGCATGGCTGGCCCGTTTAGTGCGCCACCTTTTCCTAACTTGAGGGTCTCCCCTCTGGGTTTGGTTCCCAAAAAGGACCCAGGTTCCTTTCGTTTGATCCAGCACCTATCCTACCCGTCGGGTGAATCGGTAAATGATGCCATTGGCAAGGACATCTGTCGCGTGCGATATGCATCATTTGATAGGGCTTTGGAATTAGTTCGTCGGGCCGGGCAAAGTGCTTTGTTGGCAAAATCTGACATAGCATCGGCTTTCCGTCTGTTGCCAGTTCACCCCTCCTGTTTTCACTTGCTAGGCTGTTTTTTTCAGGGGTTTTTTTACTACGACATGTGTTTGCCCATGGGTTGTTCTATTTCTTGTTTTTATTTTGAAATGTTTTCCTGTTTTCTCGAATGGGTAACGCTACAGGAGGCGGGTTTGGTGTCTGCTACTCACTACTTGGATGACTTCCTTTTCGTTGGCCCTCCCGGTTCGGGTGAGTGTGAGCGGCTTTTGCAAACGTTTCGGGCTGTCATGGGATATTTCGGGGTCCCCGTTGCAGAGGCTAAGACGGTGGGCCCGGTTCGGGTTTTGTCGTTTTTGGGGATTGAGATCGACTCTGTCGGTATGGTTTTTAGGCTGCCGGAAGAGAAGGTGTCGGTTCTCTTGCGGACGATCGACCTGGTTCGAGGGGCGAGGAAGGTGCAGTTGCGGCAAATGCAGGTGCTTCTGGGGCACTTGGCCTTCGCTTGCCGAGTTCTTCCAATGGGACGTGCGTTCTGCAGGCGCCTCTCCTTGTCCACGGTAGGGGTTCGGGAGCCTTTTCATTTTATCCGAGTCACGCGGCGTCTGCGCGCGGACCTCCAAGTTTGGAGCTCCTTTTTGGAGCGCTACAATGGACGCTCCTGCTGGTTGCTGGAGGCTGCGTCTAACTCGGAGTTGAACCTCTTCACGGACGCATCCAGCTCCGTGGGTTTTGGGGCATATTTTCAGGGTAAGTGGTGCGCGGAGGTATGGCCAACTCGATGGCGGGGTTTGGATGTTATGCGTAACCTGACGTTTTTGGAGTTGTTTCCCATTGTTGTTTCTCTGGAGCTCTGGGGGGAGGCTTTGGCCAACAGGACTGTTGTTTTTCACACGGACAACATGAGTGTTGTCCATGTGATAAACCGTTCCACCTCCAGTTCCCCTCCAGTTCTCGCGCTACTGCGACGGTTGGTACTTCTTTCCTTAAAGTTCAATGTTTGGATTAGAGCTTGTCATGTCCCGGGTGTTGACAACGTGGTAGCTGACTCTCTTTCTCGGTTTCAGTGGGACCGTTTTCGGGAGTCGGCGCCAGCCGCGGAGGCTGTGGGTATCCGATGTCCGGTTTCCTTATGGGAGATCGATTTGGAGGATTGAGGAGCTTGGTGTCGGACTCCTTAGCTGACGCTACCTGGAATGCATATCAAGCCGTCTGGTGGAGGTGGCTGTCCTCGTTTTCGCAGGACCTGATGCTGGGGTCGGAGTCCGGGCGCTTGGAGGCGACTGTGCTACTGTTGGAGTCCATGTTTGCGCAGGGTAAGTCTTGTTCTGCGGCCGAGAAGGCTTTGAGCGCCCTATCCTTTCTTTGTCGGTCTATGGGTTGGCAAGACGTTTCTCGGTGGTTCGGTATACAGCGGGTTATTCGGGGTTGGAGACTTAGAAGGGCCCCGGACCGCCGCCTCCCGGTGTCGGCTGACTTGCTGGGACGGATCCTGGCGGCTATGGGGGAGGTTTGTTTCTCAGACTATGAAGCCTCATTATTTCGGATTGCATTTGCTTTTTGTTTTTTTGGAGCTTTTAGGGTGGGCGAGTTGGTGGCACGCAACCGTTGGGCGGTGGGGCCGCTGCTCATGGCGGATATCCGGTGGTCCGAGGACTACGTGGATGTTTGCATACGGCGTTCCAAGACAGACCAGGTAGGTAGGGGTTCATGGGTGCGTATTGGTGCCACGAGAGGCAGGTTTTGTCCGGTCCGTCTTTTCTCAGAGTATTTGCAGATTCGGCCGATGTGGTGCCTCTCCTTTCTGGTTCATAGGGATGGGTCCCCCCTTACACGTTATCAGTTCTCAGCTAGGTTCCGTGCTGCCTTGGTTGCATGCGGGGTGAATCCTCGCCATTATTCTACTCATTCTTTTCGGATAGGGGCGGCCACCCAGGCTAGTTTGTGGGGTTTCTCGGATCGCAGCGATTCAGCGCTTGGGTAGATGGGGTTCACGGCGCTACAGGTCCTATGTCAGACCTCATTTACTATAATGCAATCTCTCCGTAGGTCCTCGGCCCCGCTGCATTTGGATACTGGGACATTCCTACGTTTATTGGGCTGCGCGGCGAGCTGAGGAGCGTCCATACGGGAGGAATTTGGGTTTTTCCTACGAGATAGCCAGGGTAAGGTGGAGGGGCATTAGGGGTATGTTGTGGCAGCAGCTGTATTCGGAGTGCGTATCCCTTCGTAGGTACGTGTCGGGGCCAGTAACCCTAGTAATTCATGCAGGGGGAAATGACCTGGGGCGCAGTAGGTCAGTGGACCTCCTGCATGCGATTAGACACGATCTGGCTCGGTGTATGGCTCTTTTCCCCGAGTTGACCCTGATCTGGTCGGACATAGTGTCCAGGCCGCGTTGGCGTTCGCTGCCGCATGCTAAGGGCGTGGAGCGTAGTAGGCGCAGGCTCAACGTGGCCATCGGAAAATTTGTCCGCCGGATTGGTGGTTTTGTCATTAGGCACAGGGAGCTGGAAGGGGACAATTCCGACTTGATGCGGAAGGATGGGGTGCACCTTTCCCTCATAGGATTGGATATCCTGAATGCGGGTCTTCAGGCAGGTATTGAGGAGGCGCTGGCTGCGGGGGGGCGCGGTCCCTCCCAGGGGAGTAGGTAGGGAGGAACCGCGGTGGCGGTAGTCCTGGCCAGCGAAGAGGTTTGGAAGAAAGTGCCCAAGCGGCTTGGGGAGTCGCAGCCTGCTGAGAGCTGATGGCGGGGGCAGGCTGCATTGGACTCGTGGGTCTTTTGATAGAGCTGTCTGTTGGTAATCCCCCAACAGCTGACAGGTTGTGGACGCTGGTGATAATCGATGTTAATTCTGTTAATAAAGCTGTGGCCGTTGCCCTTACCCATAAAGAAGGTGTTGTGTATTTATTGGGCAACGGGTGGTGGGAGTTTTGGTCTGGGGTCAGCAGTCATGAGAGAGACACACAGAGTGAGTGTGAGGGACAGACAGAATAAGAAAGACAGATTGAGAGACAGGCAGAATAAGAGAGACACAGAGTGAGTGTGAGGGACAGACAGAGAGAGACAGAGTGAGTGTGAGGGACAGGCAGAATGAGAGAGACACAGAGTGAGTGTGAGAGACAGGATGAGAGAGACACACAGAGTGAGTGTGAGGGACAGACAGAACGAGAGAGACAGAGTGAGAGAGAGACACAGAGTGAGTGTGAGGGACAGAATGAGAGAGACAGAGTGAGAGACAGACAGAATAAGAGAGATACACAGAGTGAGTGTAAAACAGACAGAGTACAGCTGGTGGCCCTAATCTTAAAGGAACACTATAGTGTTAGGAGTAAAAAGCTGTATTCATAACACTGTAGCAGGGGTTCCCAACCCGTGGTACGCAAAACGGTCTCCCATTGGCCCCTGTCATCCCACATTCCCCATACACTCACATTTTGGGGGCGTGGATATGACAGGGGCCAATCAAATTAAATGCTAGGGTATTTATACTTACCTCTCCCTTAACTCCCTGTTTTCTGTTTCAGTTCCCTTTAGTGCTTGTGTTGTTCAGTTGTGATTTTTCGTACTTGACCTTGGCTTTGTATCTGACTCCGTTTATCTCTTTATCCCTGTTTTGTCTTGTTTGTCGGCTTACTGATTACTGTGTACCAGACCTCGGCTAGTTCTTGTTTTCGCTGTCTTTTTGTACCCTTGACCTCGGCTTGTTCCTGACTCTGTCTTTCTCTGCTCTACGTCGAGTCCGGCCATTCTAAGGGCCGGTAAGACGTATCTGCTCTATATTGTCAATTGGACTAAATCTTGAGAGTTGGGGTAAACCACCGTGACAATATGTATGTGTGTCAGTGTTTGTATCTGTGTATCTGTATGTATGTTTTGTGTGTCTGCGTATGTATGTCAGTGTTTTTATCTGTGTGTCTGTACATCTGTACCTGTATGTATGTATGTATGTATGTATGTCAGTATGTGTATCTGCATGTTTCAGTGTTTGCATATGTGTGTTTATCTGCAGGTGTGTGTGTATCTGTATCTATATGTGCCACTGTTTGTTTATGTGTGACAGTTTGTGTGTCTGGGGCAGAGGTGTAACAGGGAGAGCCTGGGCGGAGGTACCAGCAACAAAGAAATATTTTAGAATGTGGAAGTGGGGCTCAGAGCAGGGGTGTACTGGGCTACAGTGCAAGAATAAAAGAACGGCCCCCCTCTCACCATAGCTGTTTTTCTGGGCCCCCACTTAACAGGTGGAACTCCAGGGCCTGGTTGTGACCCTGGTAATTTCAAAAGGTTAAAGGGTTACTCCAACCAAAAACAGTGTTTTAATAAACATTGTGTAATAATGCCCAATGACACTGAGAGAGGTGGAGTTACACTTCCTGCAGCAAACTCAGTATCTGCAGCATTCTATACTGAAATGCTGCAAATATAGACTCAGAGCACCATAACCACTTCAAATCACTCTAGTGGTCTTGATACTTGGTGTAACACTTTAAGTTGCAAAATGCTGCAAAATAGCAAATTCTTTGTGTCAAAAATGCATTAAAAAAGTATTGGTGCCTGGAGTGTAACAATCTTGTTTTCAGTGTGTCCAAAAACCTGTTTTACACCATGAACATGAGAACAAAATATACCGGTAGTTATCTTTTGTGTTGAGGATACTCTATGAGTACTCCCCCTAGAGTACTCATTTACCTATTACATTGCCCTCGTGAGAATTCTAATTACCAGTACAGGCATATATGTCCATTGTAGGTTTTCTGATGACATGATCACATAAACTAACATTGCAGAGGAACTAGCAGTTATCTTGTGGAAGAGACTTGGCCTTGGATCTACTTAGTATTACAAAGTACAATCAGGTTTGCTGACGCTGCATATGCTTCAGGCACTCCCTTTAAACTCACAATATGTTTTCATTACTAACATTCCAATGAAATGCAACTATATTGTACTTTAATATGCTATTGACCGGTTTTGGTCATTCAAGAGTCGTAATTAGACTTTTGTTCACCAAACATTACACAGGTTATATATACAAATACACTGAATAAATTAAATAAAAATCCAGGATTAGATTGAGAAAGAAGGGAAAAAGACCAACAAAATGTTTGAAATACTTTGTGGAAGTGGAAAAAACATTAGTATTAAATTGGTAAAAGCTGGGACTAAAGAGGGTAACAAGGAGGAAAATGAATGAGTAAGGATGAGAAATGGTGAGAAATGACATGCATTTTACATGAAATAATTTAATCAAATACATATTAAGTAAAATCAGATTAGGCTTGGACATCTGGTAGGCCTGTATTTTATGAGCTTTCAGTTTTGCTTTTCCTATAGTCGGGTGAAAACATTGTGTGAACATTGTCCTTTTGTTGGAGAATTGTTCTCATCTTCACTGTTACTACTAGATGCAAAAATCACATCATGTGTTAATATCTATTCAGTAATAATATAAATGCAATACAACATTTCATGGATAAATATATCAACATGTTATGACAATAATGATAAAAATATGTTCTGTAGTGCAAAGCTGCAAAAAGCTTTTAATCGATTCAGTAATAAAAAACAGATTTCACATCAGTTCATTCATTTCGACTTTCATTTTCATGCAGAAAATTACTGATATATCGCTGATGTATGAATACAGATGGTCATGCATCTCTAATTACAACTTTCTGCCCCTTTAAAGAACGAATAAAAGAACACGTACAATGTCCTAAACTCACTATCGAGACCCCAATCGCTCGCCATCTTAAAGAACATCACTCGGGTGACTCAAAAGGTCTCTGCTTTTGCGGACTTGAACTATTCAAACGTGACAAAAGAAGAAGTGATTACGATAGATTCTTAAGACAACGCGAGAGCTATTGGATCTATCGATTAAAGACCTTACAGCCTAAGGGGCTCAATGAAGGCTTTTCGTATGCTCCCTTCATATTGATGTATCTTTACCTAGGGATTGATCTATTTAAGATCCCTCTAAAATCTCTATATGTGGAAACATTCTAAATCTGTATGAACTAGAATATTCATTATTCTAACACCTAGGTGCAGATATATACATATATAGTCATTTCTAGATGCCTCTGTACGACTACTTACCTTGCCAACACCACTATAGCCTTTTGAGACCCATTTTTTACACAGTCCATTAAGATTACCAGGAACTGCCAACTAATAACTAGTGTCCATGTATGCTTATGATATGGGGACCATCACCAGGTCACCCCTGTATCTGCAATATAAACATTACACAATATAAAATATAACATCTACCCCTTTTAGGGATCTAATACAAATGATGTCCTCCAAGATCCATTCTATCCCTGACAGCCAGCTCTGACTATTGGTAATTGTCAATCTGTAATATATTCTATCTATGCTTATAAATATATCATTTATTGATTACTTTAGTCTAGAAATATCCCTCTAAGATCCATTCTATTTCTGACAGCCAACTCTATCAGTAACTGTCAACCTGTAACATAGTCTGTCTCTGTACTATAGTCTATCTATGCTTATAAATATATTATTTATTGATTACTTTAGTCTAGAAATATCCCTCTAAGATCCATTCTATTTCTGACAGCCAACTCTATCAGTAACTGTCAACCTGTAACATAGTCTGTCTCTATGTTTATAAATATATCAATTTTTGATTACTTTAGTCTAGAAATATCCTTTTAAGATTAATTCTATTCCTGATAGACAACTCTGACTATCAGTAACTGTCAACCTATAACATAGTTTATTTATGCTTATAAATATATAATTTATTGATTACTCTAGTCTAGAAATATCCCTAACTTGCAATACTTCTGCAATCTATTTATTTTTACAATATCATTTAGGTAGTACTATTCAGATACTCCTCTATTGAACATATTTAGTTTAACCCCTTAAGGACGGAGCCAAATGTACACGTTGTGAACAAAACAAAATGTAAACAAAACCTGGCATTTGCGCTACATGTCTGTCCAACCGTAATTCACCTACTGTTTGCTTTTACTGCAATAAAATACACATATTTGTATTCAGTAAAGTCTCACGTGTAAGACAGTACCCCCTATGTACAGGTTTTATGGCGTTTTGGGAAGTTGCAGGGTCAAATATAGCACGTTACATTTGAAATTGAAATTCGCCAGATTGGTTACGTTGCCTTTGGGACTTTATAGTAGCCCAGGAATGAAATTTACACCCATAATGGCATACCATTTGCAATAGTAGACAACCCAAGGTATTGCAAATGGGGTATGTCCAGTCTTTTTTAGTAGCCATTTGGTCACAAACACTGGCCAAAGTTAGCGTTAGTATTTGTTTGTGTGTGAAAAATGCAAAAAATGCCAATTTTGGCCAGTGTTTGTGACTAAGTGGCTACTAAAAAAGACTGGACATACCCTGTTTGCAATACCTTGGGTTGTCTACTATTGCAAATGGTATGCCATCATAGGGGTAATTTTCATTCTTAGGCTACCATAGGGTCTCAAAGGCAACGTAACCAATCTGGCGAATTTTAATGTGAAAAAAATGAAACACAAGCCTTATATTTGACGCTGTAACTTTTGAAAACACCATAAAACCTGTACATGAGGGGTACTGTTGACATCAGGAGACTTCGCTAAACACAAATATTTGTGTTTCAAAACAGTAAAAAGTATCGCAGCAATAATATTGTCCGTGTAATGCCGTTTGTGCGTGAAAAATGCAAAAAATGTCACTTTTACTGGCGATATCATCGTTGTAATACATTATACTGTTTTGAAACACAAATATTTGTGTTCAGCGAAGTCTCCCGAGTAGAACAGTACCCCCCATGTACAGGTTTTATGGTGTCTCGGAAAGTTATAGGGTTAAATATAGTGCTAGCAAATTAAATTCCCTTTACTTTCGGCATGGGTTGTCAGGCAGGTCCCTGCTAATTGTAATTAATTAAGATACCTAATTATGTAAAAATATTACATAAATATATATGTAGAATTAATATATGTATATATATAATATGTGAATATATATGTATATATATATAATAAATTTTTAATTTTTTATTTATATATAGGTATATATATAGATATATATATCGTATATATATTTATGTATATAGATATATATATTATTTCGTTCTACGTGTATTTTGATATATATATATTAATTTCACAATACAGTTAGAACGAAATAACACACATCTATATATATTTTAATTATTTATTTTTAATTATTTTTTAAATTTATTTTTTAACGTATTTACATTTTTATTTTTTATATATAAATATATATATAACAATTATATATATATTTAATCAGTATCAGTCTACGTGTAATTTGATATAATATATATATATATATAATTATATATATATTAATAGTAAAATACACCTAGACGGTGTACGTGTGTGTATGTATATGTGTATATATATGATCTAAGTATATATTATTATTTTTTTTTACACTATTTATTTATTTTATTTTTATTTTTAGCCAGCAGGGGGACCACCTGTCATTACAGGCAGTCACCCTGCTGGCAATGCTGCAGCCAGCTACCCCCGGCCATGTGATTGTGGAGTCCTCGCAAGGACCCCACTCTCACACGGCCGGGGGGCTTCGAGGAGGACGGAAGTGCCGCGGGTGGCTCCCTGGGAGTACCCTCCACCGCGATCGCCGGCGTGGGATCGCCGGCGAC